GCCTGCTCTTAACTGCTGAGTCAGTCCACCAGTCCATTCTTTCCTTTGTCTATCTTATGTATTTTGTCCTATGTACATTGTGGAGGCCCACAAAGGTTTCCTAGTGAGATCTGAGCTTGCTTTACCCAGCAGAGCTGCATTAGAGGATTGCTTGACCACGTGCATGATTACCAAGTGTTTGGAAGGGTCTGCACTTGGATGTGTGCTATGCTTTGATCTAGCAAGGGGAAGTCTTTTGCCCTGCCCCTTGGCATTCCTTTAAAAAGCCCTTTAGAAGAGACAAAAGGGGCCAGTGGATAAGAATCCAGGCCCTCCTGAGCTGTCCTGTGTTTATATCTGTCTCTCCCCCCTCTATCCTTCTATCTAAATATTTCTCACTTCTCCCTCTTTACCTTGGGGTAAAAGTGGGAGTGAGTCTTCCATAGTACATCTGTCTTTGTTAGGGTTTCTATTGCTCTGAAGAGATACCATGACCACAGCAACTCTTATAAAAAAAAACATTTAATTGGGGCTGGCTTACAGTTTCAGAGGTTTAGTCCATTATCGTCATGGTGGGAAGCATGGCAGCATGCAGGTAGATATGGTGCTGGAGAAGGAGCTGAGAATTCTATATCTTGGTCAGCAGGCAGCAGGAAGAGACCGTGCACCACTAGTCCTGGTTTGAGCTTCTGAGATTTCAAAACCCACTTCGTAGTGATGCACTTCCTACAACAAAGTCACACCTACTCCAACAAGCCCATACTTCCTAATAGTGCCACTCCCTATGGACTTATGGGGATCATTTTTATTCGAACTGCCAAACATCCAATATATCTTTGAAGTCCTCTCAATTTTACTTTCAAAATAGTGTTTTTTAAAATAGTTGTTTTTTGTTTTACCTTCAGACAAGGAAGTTCTAGGCTGGCCTGCAATATATAGTGAGGTCCTTAAAACAAAAGTTGAAGTATTTTTGTGGTTTCTAACCAGGTGTCTTATTTACTGTTCAAATTTACAATTAACCCTATCTGTTTCCTGCTAATCATCCCATCAGCAGAACAGTATACTCTAGATACATCATAGCACTCAAGAAAGCTCTCAAAATCACACTGCTTACCCACATTTCTTTATTTAAGAAAATACTTTCCAAAGCAATGTGCCTGTTACCATTCTTTTAGATTTTTATCACAATTTATTTATCATGTGCGTATGTGTAAGTGTGTGTGTGTGGGGGGGACATGCATGCCACCTCATGCATGTGGAGGTCAGAAGACAACTTTGGGAGTCAGTTCTCTCCACCATGTGGGACCCAGGATCAAACTCGGGTCATCTGGCTTGGAGGCAAGTGCTTTTACCTGCTGAACCATCTCACTGGTCCTGATTCTTGATGTGATTTCCCCCAAAGCCAGAGAGAGCTCAGGCTGCAGACAATAGCATGGGGGCATGGCCATGATGGGAGAGGTTTCTCACCTGGACCCCTTTTCTCAAGGAAACTCACTTGAGCTACAGAAAAAGATTGAGGGGGGGCACCTCCCCACATTAGAGTTGATGCTAATTTGCTTTCTGTTGAATATTTAACATGCCATTTGCATAGCTGTCTTAGAAAAATCAATCCCCGTGTTTTATTATTTGAGGATTAAAAAAAAAAGTTTGCCTCCTAGGAGCCAAAAGGAGAGTCAGCCCTGTAGATTAGAATCAATTCAGCAGATGGAAAATAAAGCTTTGAAACATATTCTGCCTTCCCTGAGCACGTCGCAGGCATTAGTGATAATGGGAGCCCTGTCTGTGCATGGAGGGGCTGCATCTGCCAGATTCCCAACCAGCCCCACCCCGGGTTGTGCAGCCCTGTGACCTTCACGGAGGAGGGCTGAATCTGGCTCCAGCATCTCCTCCCCTTGGGCTGGAATGCCTAGGACAAACACAGGCACACATAGTGTTCTTTCCCTTGAATTGCTGAAACACAGCCAGCTCAGGCATGAATGAAAACTGACTCTATTTGTCCTTTGGAGCACTGTACCACCTAGTGGTCCAGTTTGTTAGAGCTCTCCATAATTTAGGGGGCACTAGAGAGGCAAAGATAAAGTTCAGGTCATCATTTGGTTTCATTCAGTCGCCTTGTGTGCCCATTAGCACATTTCAAAACAAGAGATTCGTGAATCTGAAAACATAAGACAAGCCATGAAGAATGGCATGGCTGCTCTCTCAAACACTGTCAGTCCTGTAGCACCCCTGTGCTCAGATGTGTTCCATCTCTTTGTTTATGCAGATTTCATCTTTTATTATTTGTGTATATGTGGATGTGTGTTTGTGGGAGTTGGTTGTATGCCACATGGGTGCGGGTTCCAGTGGAGGCCAAAAGAGGGTGTCAGATACCCTGGAGCTGAAGTTACAGGGGACTGTGAGCTTTCTGGTGTGGGTGCTGGGGACCGAACTCTGGTCCTTTCCGAGAGCAGTTCGCATTCTTAACCACTGAACCATCTCTCCACCCCCTTGTCCCTTAATTTTAAGACAAGAATGAGACACCAAAGCAATTCCTGTTGCCAGGGGTGACACCTTTGCCGTGTGATGGGTCCACCTTTGCTGTTCCATTTCTTCAACATAAATTCCGGGTCACATGAGGACTTGCACTTGGCACATCTTGAATGACCATTTATGCCCCCACCTGGCCTGCCAGAGGACCAGCTGCACCGGCGAGCTAGTGCTGTGGCCCCAGCAAACCTTCCTGCAAGCCTCCCTCCTCCCTTCTGAAGATCAACGTCAGGAGGTATTGTCAGGATCTTTCCTGCCCCCAGAGTGTCCCCGAACTCCATTAATGTTGTCTTGAGCGCTGGGCTGACTGCAATCACGCCTGCCTTCCAGAAAGTCGTTTGAAAGAGAAGGCAATGTAAGTGGTTTGTAACGTTCAGTGATTTAGCTGTTCGGAGACTGGAGTGGTCTAGAAGAGTCTTTGAGATTTCAGCGCCTACCATGTTCCCGGGAGCTGTCCAGAGTGCTGAAGCCAGCAGCCATCGACAACAAGGACAATGTGAGCCCACCGGCTGTGTAACTCTTACAAAGCCACCACTTATGTACCCTATAGGCCAGCAGGAGCAGCCCCAGGACAGGGGCAGGGGCAGCCAGAGAGTTCTCAGCAACGCTAGGCTTAGACTTATGTCGTGAGGCATGTAAACAGCTAGTGGAATTTCAGAGTACATAGCATCAGATAATTCCCAGACCTAGGGGAGCTATATTTAGCTTAGGCAAGTTTGGAAAGAGCTCAGAGGGAGTGTCGTGCCATTCAAACAAACATTAATAGTACGGGGACTTGGAAAAAGGCAAACCTTTCTTCAGTTCAGGAATCTGGGAGGAAAACCTGCATTAAAATCTTGGGATGTGAGGTGTGGAGAACCCGGGAATCCAGAGTTCCAGAGGGGAAGGAACTCCACATAAAAGCTCCTAGCGAGTTACCTAGGCTTGTTCCTCATCTCTCCCCTGGAAAATTTATTCCAGGCAGATTAAATCTGTCTTTGCCTTTCACTTGTGTGTAATTAATGATTCTCTAAAGGTCCCAGTTTATCCCATGCTTATCTTTCCACTGTTCCCAGAGGAGAAACAAGAAAGGTGCCCAATGAGAAGCCTGCCCTCTTTCTCAGGGAGCAGAGGACCCTGGGCCTACTTCCCCCACTGGACCCCTTTGTCTTGGGGTTCAGCTGGGTGGCATGGCTCCTTTCTCTAGCCTGAGTTTCCACTTCCCTATTAACATAGACACAACACTCGGGTGAAGCTGAAGGAGAAGAAATTTTCTGCTTGGTGTGTTTTATGGCCCATTATTATCTCCCATACATGTCCCATGCCTCTCCGAGGGGCACAGGAGAATGCGTCTAGTGAAAGCATTGGGGAGGGTCCCCCACTTTCCACAGCATGAAGGAGAGATCAGCCTCATGAGAGAATCCATCTGAAGCCACCTCCACCCCCACCTCAAAGGAGGTCTGGACTACTAGCATTCTTTCCAGCTCTGGAGCCTTCCTTGGCCTCTGTAAACTCATTGTCTACTTTCCCAGGAAGGCTGTCCTTGGATTTGGGTCTCTGCAGAGCTGTCCCTTGATGGTTTTCTCATGGTGGCTGAGGGCAGGAGTGATAGATGTCTCCCATCCTGCCCTGTGGCTGGGGGTGGGAGTGATAGATTGTCCCCCATCCTGCCCTGTGGCTGGGGGTAGGAGTGATAGATTGTCCCCCATCCTGCCCTATCTCTACTCATCATGTGTGGGAGGAGTCTGGGGGGATCAAATCAATCACTTCCCCCACTCCCCTCAAATGTAACAACAGCCACGATTTAGTTTTTCCATGGGGTGGGAGACATCAGAATTATATGTTTGTATAGATATAACAGCCACTGCAATAAAGGAAAAAGGATAAAGTGAGTGAGTGTGTGTGTGTGTGTGTGTGTGTGTGTGTGTGTGTGTGTGTGTGTGTTCAAAATGGGAGGATCTCAAAGGCAGGGGAGCCCACCACCATGGTAGCATCAGGAGCTGTTGGTTTCAGAAGATGTACCCCAATTCCCATGCAAGACATGGAATCTGGTCACAGATAAGGTGGAGGTATAGAGGCCGTGGATCCCTTGCTCCTCTAGATTTGTGTCATCAACGCCCCTAGGGGGACATTCCTGAAGTGTCTCCAGATAAGCCTTAGAGGGCATTTGAGCTTCTTTATGCCAGAACCGGGGGGTGGGGTGGGGGGGGGTGTTCACACCCCAGGTCTGGGCTCCTCACGGTAGGACTTGCCCTAGTACCCTAGGCACAGCAGAAGCTGAGAGAGCCGAGTGACTTAAAAGGCCGGGTGAGGCCGGGCGGTGGTGGCGCACGCCTTTAATCCCAGCACTCGGGAGGCAGAGCCAGGCGGATCTCTGTGAGTTCGAGGCCAGCCTGGACTACCAAGTGAGTTCCAGGAAAGGCGCAAAGCTACACAGAGAAACCCTGTCTCGAAAAACAAAAAAAAAAAAAAAAAAAAAAAAAAAAAAAAAAAAAAAAAAGGCCGGGTGAGAAGTGGGCACCAGCAGCAACGGTGACCTCTGAGCATCCCCTTGGTACTTATCCCCAGCACCACACGCAGCCACTTCCAGAAAGAGCTGAGGGTTGTAGCTCCAACAACCCCTCCCCCTCCCCACAAGGAAAGACAGGATGGTGAGATGAACGGGGCAGACGAGGGAGTGCCAGCAGCCCAGACGCACAGAGAAGGCCGCTCTTCTTTCATGAGGAGGATGACGCAGGCAGCAACCCCAGGCAGGCACAGAGCACAGCCACTCACCTTGCCAAGCTCTGCGCTGGCTGAGGTCAGAACGGCGGCGGGTCTCTTGCGGAACTGCCCCCCTCTCACAAGCCCCAATCCCACTAAAACAGCAGTTGCCCTTGAGTAGGAGTCCGGGGTTGATTTGCTGTTCTGTCCGAGGGAACCCCAAGGGTCCTGTGGCTCTAACAGGAAGGAGCCCTCCTCATTTTAGCAGCAATCATTTCTTCCTCTCTTCCTGCCACGGTGATTAAATTAGCAGGCTGTTCTCCTTGGAGAACATGTGTCTACGGTCCCGGGAGGCACTGCCCACTTGCCCGTCTGATAGGTTCGGAGAAGGAAAGCAAAGGGTGTGGGTGTGCCTACGTCCCTCCCCGTCCCTGTCCCTGGGAGGGTCTGTCCCACCTGGGATGGCCACCTAGCCAGCAGCAAGGACCACAGGAGGGGGGCGGCGCTGGGGCTCAGCTGCAGGAAGCCTGACAGGTGGCTGCGTACACGCTGCTGCCCACGGTGGCCCCACTGCTTACACTGCTCGTGGGACACTTGAGGGGCTTCATGCTGCTGTCCCTCTGGATGTTCAAGTGCTCCAGCCTCCAGCGCTCCCAGCTCTTCCGAAACTCCATCTGGACCTTCCGTGGGAAAGAAAGAAAAAAGAGAGGGACACGAAAGCCATCAGGCAAACCAACTGCCCACAAAATGGCCCTGTTATTACATTAGCAGGGAAGGGAAAAAATCCGCTGGATTATATTAAGAGACACAAGTCAAGGTCTTCAGGCGCCTAAATTAATATCCCAATAAAATTGTTTATTGTTGTCTCCTATTCTCTGCCTCTCCTCGGGAGAGAGATGGGCTTGACGACCTAATTGTCCCTTTCCATCTCTAGACTCGGTGATTCAGCTAAGTACCTTCTACAATCCATCACAGTATTAGTTAACAGAAGAGAGTGAGGGCGAGGGAGAGACGCAGGGAGGGAGAGAGAATCGGGAGAAGATGGAGCCTCACTTTACAAAGTGCTCTCACAGCGTGGCTTGGACAGTTGAGAGGGGGAGAAGGCACGTCTGCCCCTAACCCCGGTGACACCCGTGTGGCAGTCTGAACGCCCTCGGGAGCTTTCCTTTGTTTCGCTTGGGTCAGAGGTGGTGGTGGTTGTTTTTGTTTTCTGACACCATTCATCTCGCTATATAGCCCAGGCTGGATTCGAACTCTTCACCCTCCTATCTCAGGCGCCCCCCGCCTCCCGAATTACAAGCATGAACTGTCAAGTCCAGATTCCCCTTAAGGTTTTCACTCAGTCCCTGAACTTCTCAGGACAGGGAAGGGGTGAAGGAAGCAAGGGGAACTAGCCAAGATCCAGGACTTCTGTGCCTGGCTTTGACTGGCCCATCCAGAGAAACCGAAGGGAGCTTGGCTGGGCAATCTGCCAGGTGAGCTCAGCCAACCAGACTCCCCAGTGTGCTGACCTCTCAGAAGGATAGACGCTGGAGGAGCAGATTGCTGGGGCAGAAAGTTACCCAGAATGTGGAGGGGCTCTGAATCCCTCCAGGGCCTGTGGTAACACTGTGGCTCCAGAGAGAGCTGTTACAAGCTGCACAGCATGTCCTGAGGGCTAGATCACACTTCAGGGACTTATTCTCACTGTCTGCTCTTCTATCCTTGCCCCCAGCCTTTCCATCCGGGAGTGTCTAGGGACTGTGTTCCTTTCAGACCGTAGCCGTCAGGAGGGCCAGCGGCCAGCAGCTGTGTACAAGAGGTTCCCTGCCAATGCCCCCACCTGCCCCTAAGCAAACACCCCTCCTCTACTCTTTCCGTGCCATCCATCTTGCTAAGCCCAGCCAGACACCCTGTGTGGCCACATGCCATCCCTTAAAAGAACTTCTGTGCTGGGCAGAGTGACGATCACCCAGAGCCTGCCTGCCAGGGCGTCTTGGTGTCCCAGACAGTGTCATGGACCCCAGGCCTAGACAGCGAGGGAAGGAGGCAGAGCAGACACTACCTATGGCTGCCTTGCATGGTTGGGTTTGTGTAGTGCTGATAGCTGGGGTGAAGACATTGAGCCCCAAGGGCCCCCGTCTGCACATCTGCAGGAAAGCAAATCTCTCAGTCTTCCACTTGGAAGAGAGGGGAAAAATTGGTAAACTGAGGCACACCAAACCAGCAGGACTTAGAGCACATGGTATCTCTTGATCTTGTCCCCCTAGACACTTTTTCTGAGCCTCTGTGGTGGCCCCAGGCATCACAACTGTCCCCAAGAACCATTATCTACGGGCTGCAGGGGATGGTCCCATCAGGGCATTGCCTGTGTCAGAAACCCGAGGACCTGAGTTCAAATCCCCAGAATCCACATAAAAAGCTGGACAGGGGGAGCTGGAGAGATGTTCCAGCAGTTAAAAGCACTGGCTACTCTTCCAGAGGACCTGACTTTAATTCCCAGCAACCATATGTGGCTCATGACCATCTGTAACTCCATTTCCAGGGGATCCAATGCCTTCCTCTGGCCTGCATGGGCACACAGACATATATGCAGGTAAAACGTTCACACACAGAAAACAAAAATAAATCTTAAAGACAAGTTGAGCATGTTGGCTCAGATCTATAAACCCAGCACTGGATATATATATGGGGGGGGGGGCAGGTGGATCCCTGGGGCTTTAACTAATTATGAACTCCAGACTCAGCAAAAGGCATTGTCTCAAAAACAAGGTGGGGAGTGTCTGAGGAAGACACTTGGCAAGATCCCTGGCCTCTACACACATGTGCACACACATGTATCCACACACCCAAAAAGAAACGCCATTTTGATTTCCTTCCTCGTTAACCCTGGGAAGCAGCCATCACTCCTCAGGAAAAGCGGGGACGAGCAGAGGAGCAGAACTCATAAATATCTTCCCAGGGCTCAGCCAGGATTAGAACCCAGGTCTAGTCCGACTCCAGCACCCTCATCTAACCTCTGGCTTCCTGCCTGCCACAGCTCTAGAAGCCCAGCTGGTCTCTGGCTGTGTCTCCTCTCCACTTAGCAGAGAGCACTTGATAGGCATGACTACATCTTCCTCCTCTAAGCACCCATGCTCTGACGTGAGGTCCTCCCGCTGATCAGTCAGAGAAATGAAACAGAGAATGACCCTGGGGCTGGTGAGATGGCCCAGTGGGCAAAGGCATTTGCCACCAAGCTGGATGGCCTGAGTTGGATCACCAGAACCTACACGGAGGACGGAGAGAATCAACTCGTCCCAAGTTGTTGTCTGAGTTTTACCTGCACTCTGTGGCACATACACACTGCCTGCACCTCGATGGATGAATGATTAAAAAGTAAATAAATAAATGACCAGCCGTGGCATCTGCACCATCGAATGTTAACCCTTTCCTGTCCTCTGAGCCCTAATGCCCAGCATCACACCCCAAGAACCCCCAACTAAGAACCAAATCAGGCTCAGGGTTTGGTAAATCTTTCTTACCTCCACTGACCCCTGAGTACAAGAGGCTAGTCTGAGGCCACACAGCTTAGCAGTGTAGAACAGGATGAGCACTCATGGCTCCTGAGCGACTTTACTTTGGCCCTCACACATAAACCACAGTAAATCCATCACCGGTCCCCCCCATCCCCACTCCTCACCGACCAGCAGCTGGTGCAGGCCTTGACAGCCACATGAGACCAATGTTCAAGCCATCTTCTCAGGTCACAAGTACCTGGCATTGCCATGGCAACCCTGGATCTGGAGAACGGCTCTTGTGGGCAGAGGCCACAAGAGTGGCCAGGGCACATGTGTGTTGAATCGCTCTGCAGTAAATCAGGTGTGCCCAACCTGTAGCCTAAGGGCTGCATGGATATTAGGATAGCGACAAATGTGGCCCGTATCATTTGTGGATGACAGTGACATACAGCAAGGTCACAAGGTTGAACACCCCCAGCTTGAAATAGTCAACATTAACCCTTTAACACGAGGCTGGGTCTTCCCTAAGCTCTTATTTCGTTAGGAGTGTGTGTGTGTGTGTGTGTGTGTGTGTGTGTGTGTGTGTGTGGTGTGTTGAGGGGAGCACAGAATAGAATATAAAGGCAAGATACCACCTCCATTTTCAGCCACAGTGAGGGGACTGGAAGTATAGAAAGACTGAAGAGAACCCCCCACTGCATAGCCCCACACCAGCCAATGGCAGCAGCCCCAGCAGGGTCCCTACCATCCCTCTGCAGACCTTACCTCATTGTTGACAAAGCAGTACAAGATGGCCACCATCAGGCCCTGGAAACAAGAGGCATGTTAGCAGGAAGGGACTCAGGAGGAGGCACCAGAGTGACTAGCCTCTGGGATTCCTCTCCTCAAATCAAGAAGCCCAGATTGGCTTGAGAATAGACAAGGGTTTTTTTTTTTTAATTTTCCAAAATAAATTTGTGTGTGTGTGTGTGTGTGTGTGTGTGTGTGTGTGTGTGTGTGTGAGAGAGAGAGAGAGAGAGAGAGAGAGAGAGAGAGAGAGAGAGAGAGAGAGAGTGTGTGTTTACATGCACCATGTGTGTGCAGGAGCCCTTGGAGGCCAGAAGAGGGCATCTGATCCTCTTGGAACTGGAGTAATAGGTAATTGTATAAGATAGCACATGGATGCTGGGAACCAAACCTGAGTCCTCTTCCAGAGCAGCAAGTGCTCCTAACTGCTGAGCCATCTCTCCAGGCCCAGTTTCTTACATTTTTCACTCATGCTGCATCATCTAATGCTATTGAGGAGGACCAGTTCCTTGCTTTGAACCCATATGACACATCCCCACCACCCTTCCCCCATCCCATGTTATGTGGCTAGTTCTTCTGAATTGAGATATTCCTTCCTGGAAGGAAGAAAGAGGCTCCTAAGACCTAGGAAACTCATGGAACTTGTAAGACCCAGGAAGTTCAGAAAGTTACAGACTCCTCCATGGGGTTATATGAGTAGTTGGCAGTTTTGGGGGAAAGAGGAGTGTAGTGGTTTAAAAGAAAATGGCCCCCAAAGGGAGTGGCACTACTAGGAGGCTTTTGTTGGAGTAGGTGTGGCCTTGCTGGAGGAAGTGTGTCACTGTGGAGGTGGGCTTTGAGGTCTCATATATGCTCAAGCCACACCCAGTGACTCAACACTTCCTGTTGCCTGTGAGTCAAGATGTAAGAACTCTCAGCTCCTTCTGAGAGCTTGTCTAGAGAAGAACATGTCTAGCGCATTTTCCTGAACACTGCCTTGCTTCCTGCCATGACCATAATGGACTAAACAAACCTCTGAACTATAAGTGAGTCACCACAATGAAATGTTTTCCTTTGTAAGAGTTGCCATGGTCATGGTGCTTCTTCACAGCAATAGACACCCTAACGAAGGCAAGGAGACTCCCCCATGGAGCTGCCCGCAAATCATGCAGGGAGCCCCAGGATGCCACTTTTATAAGTCATCATCCATGCTGGGATGGGCCTTTCAACGATGCAGCTGCCTTTGAGTCACCCATGGCCCTGTATCCAAGCCCAAGTTCATTGGCTCACCACCTGGACTTCAGTGGAATCATTTCCTTGGTCAACCATCAGTATTCTATGCGGAGCAAATAGTTATCTGTTCGTGTCTTCCTAGGAAAAGTCACACAACCCCCTGTAAACCTTGTTTTAACATCTCCGGGCCTCAGTTTCCAGTTATGTCAAGTAGGGGCAATCTCGCAACTGTAGGTCCTGGGAGGATTGAATGCATTGTGTGTATAAATTGCCTGGCAGGATGTAGTGGATGGCAGTGCCTCTCTCTAGATGCCCAGATGCCCAGGTCCACATCTGAGAAGGCTTCTTGTCCTATGGACTTACAAAGAAGACTGACTTCTATGTCCGAATACCTGGGGATACTCGCTCTGGCTCTGCTCCCACCGTGTGACCTGGGGCCCAGACTGTTCTCTCAGGCCTCATCTTACTCATCTTTCCCCGTCTGCATGATGCAAGCTGGTGCCTGCCCCTCCCTCACTTTGGGACATCCCCAGGCACGTGCCCCCCAACTGTGAGTCACCTGGAAGGAAGTGAAGGAGAGCTCTGTGAACAGCTTTATGAAGCGGAGGGTCCCTCGGGCATGTTCGTCCATCACAAAGGCAAAGATGACCTCATGCGTCCCCAGGAGGGGGATGAGCGTCAGAGTGGACTTGGCAAGTCTGGAAAGATAGGGTGAGACGGCTTGTATCATTCAGCCATTTGTACACAGACTGCTCTTTTCTCTCTGTGCCCACCACGGACACTCTTCACTGAAAATACCCTGGACAAGCTGCCTTTGTGTGTGTGTGTGTGAGAGAGATGGGGGCAGAAGTCAAGACTCTAGAAGCTCAGGGGCTGCTAATAGAGAGGAAAGCTTAGGGGTTGCAGACCAGACCTGATGGGAAAAGAGGGATGCACAGGGCTCCAAAGAGAGTTCCCCAGATTCTCTCTCTGGTGATAGGGAAGGCCAAGGGCACCCCTAAGGGCACCCTTGCAGCCATCTTGGTTAAGGTACCTGCATTTGATGTCAGTCTTGCACATGAGATTAGCCTTCAGTTTGGATACCACAATACAGATGACCCGGATGAAGATGAGAAAGTTGACCTACAGAGCACACGGGCAGGAGGCTAGGACCATTCACCTTCCCCCAGTCATTAGCCTGGTCCCAGGCCATGTCCACCAGCTTCCAACTCTGTCACTCACCCCAATAGCAAAGAGAATGGGCAGTCGAATGATGAGCCAGTAGTTCATGTTGGAGTTCCTGGTCCAGCAGCTGGGGAGGAAGAGAGAGAGACACAAGGCATCCAACTGGACACTCAGAGGCTCCACTGGCTAGTGCAGGACAAAGGCACAAGTGCCCAAAGCCAAGCAAAGTGCTACACCCAGCCACAGATGCATGCAGAATCCTGTAAGTGCATCACATACCCCACCCCAGAGTCCTCAATACATAGCCACACACAGAGAGACCCATGTCTCTCCCACATCATCACGAACCTCTGCAAACAGTCATATGTACACCTAGCATCATACACAAAATAACAGGCTATTCACTCTGATGTTCATAAATGCCATCAGGAAGGCATCATGCACTGCAAAGGCCAGCAATATTGATCATCATACCATCCCAGGGCAGGTTCAGATTAGAGATGGAATTCATATGCTAAACTCCTGCTGGCCCTATGAATCCTCCCAAACAAGTAGTAAACTTGTGCTCCAGGGTGCAAGAATTCCATAGATTATATAAGGATGAGACCCCAGCACACCACCCTCCTGCAGCAAGACACTCTACTCACCCCTCATCCTCATAGAGGTATTTGACAATGCCCCAGGGAATAACGAACAGCAGAGGAACACCTAGTGGAGAGAAGGAAAGACAAAGAGGAGAGAAGCTGGCAGGACAGAGCTGCTGCCACAGTGCCCAGGTCCTTTCACACCCTGGACCCCTCACATCTCCAGCGCCTCTACCTTCCTGGCCCTAAAACAGTGCTTGTGAGAATGGAGGTGAAGGGTTTCATACTCATGTTCCACATTCTTCCTCACAGAGTTCGTCGTGGTCCAGCCCCTCCTGCGTGCCAGGTGCCCTGCCAGGATTTGTCTCCAGAATCTTGGCTGTGAGATCCCAGGACAGACACTCAAGGAGCACAAGATCAGTACAACGTGGTGGGGAGGACATGCTGGGTGACGAGGGACCAGAAAAACTCTCTGATGTGCCATCCTTCATTTTTCTAGCCCAGATGCCCATCTCAGTCCACACCTTAGGTCCCAGAAGCCCCTTCAGGTGTTTGGTCCCTTCCTCATGTACCTATTCGAGGCCTAGAAAAGAGACAAGGCCTGTCCCATTTATATAGAGGCCTATATAATTAATAACTGCAGCAGCAATACTTCTCAGTGAGCGCTAGGGTTTAGACACGCGTTCATGTGACACTAGATGGTGGAGTCTTCAGAAGATAGGGCCTGTGGGCAGTCCTTCCCAGAGGAGATTTTGGGATACCCAGCCTGTCCAATCTCTCATTTTTCCTTCCTGGCATGAGGTGGACTATTTACTCACTCATATGTACCCCACCAGTGCAATGTGGCACCCCCACAAGAGGCCCAAAGCAAGGAGTCTGCCTAATCTTTGACTTGAATCTGCAGAATGGTGATCATATAAATAGCCCTTTTCTCTTTATGATAGCAATATCCCAAATGTTTATTTTATTATAGCAATGCAAAGTTGACGAATATAGCTCAGAGGTAGCCACTTAGATGGTTCCCAGTGATCACTACCTCTAGGTATTCATATTGGTTGTTGTTGTTGAGACAGGGTCTCAAGTAGCCCAAACTGGCCTCAAACTTGCTTTTTTTGCTATAAAGTCAAAGATGACCTTGTACTCCTGATCTTCCTCCATCCACTTCCTGAGTACTAGGATTATAGACTTTTGTGCGCTCTCTCTCTCTCTCTCTCTCTCTCCCTCTCCCTCTCCCTCTCTCTCCCTCTCCCTTTCCCTGTCTCCATTTAGTTGGGGAAGTAGAGGGAGGGGAGTTGTCATGCCAAGAGTATTCCCTGACAGTCTACAGAGAGCTCCCTACAGCAAGGAATGGAGGGCCCCTACCCACAGCTCCGTGAGTGAGCTTGGAGATCAATTCCCAGTCAAGCCCTAGATGGCAGTAACTCTGACTAACAGATCCAGCTAGATATTCTGAGTCAGGGATGCACAGCCATGTTGAACTCAAGACTTTTGAGCACAGGAACTGTGAGATTGTAGTTTGTGGCTCTAAGCAGCAAAGTTCAGGGGTCACTGTTAGACAGCAATGGAAAAGAGTCTGTCTGGCTGCTAAGGTCTACAGGGTAGACTCCCCAGAGCTCAGTCTGTGCTGAGCAGGTGGGCCGGTCATCCTCTCCCGGCAGCTGAGGAGATGGACAGGAGGAAAGAACACATGTAGGAGCAGATTCTGGGGCTGTAAGCCTATACCCACTCCAGCCATCTTCAGAGGCTTTCTGCATCAATATCTCAATACCTGCCTCTACCTATGCCTTTCTCAAGTTGGTCACGTGGATGTCTGAGGTAGGTCGCAGTGTGCACATTAAGGTATGTGGACATAAGCTTCGTGCACACGGTGGAGGGTGGCTTTGGGACATCTCTCCCAGGTGTACATTTCCAAGGCAGAACCACGTCAGAACCTTTCCAGTCACCATCATCAGTGTCCTCAACACATTGGTGTCCACACAGTCACAGCTGCTGAGCAACTTGTTTGTCTGGGTCACTGTATTGGCCCATGACTCAGACAGGGGAGGGGAGAGCATCTAACAGTGCACAGCTGGCCAGCATCCATCAGGTCTCCCTATTGGTCCAGTTACTAATGTTACTATTTCTATTGTTTAAAAGTTTTATTATATTCAGTGTGTGTGTGTGTGTGTGTGTGTGTGTGTGTGTGTGTGTGTGTGTGTCCATCCCTATCTATGCTCAAAGGTGTGTGTGCAAAAGTGTATATACCCATGAACATGAGGGCCAGAGGACAACCTCAGATGTCATTCCTAAGGATCTGTCTACCTTGCTAGTGTTTGAGTCAGGGTCTCTTGCTGGAACGTGGGGTTTACCAATTAGGTTAAACTGATTAGTCAGTAAGTCCTGGGCATCCACCTGTTTCTGTCTCCCTGGTACTGGACTTACAAGCAGGTGCCACAACTCTTTTATATGGGTTCTGGGGAATCAAACTCCAATCCTCATGATTGTTCAGTAAGCACTGAATTCATCGAGTGAGCTCGCTCTCCCCACTCTCTTCATTTTTACACAGACCAGCCATCCAACATCCACGATACTTTATAAACAGGCGTTCATTTGGACTGAACAAATAGCAGGATGGCCTAGGAGGGGCCTGGGACACGGCATAGACCCTGCCCCATAGAATATGCCCTGTAGGAATGGAATAAATATATCAACGAGAGAAGGGAAGCTCTCTAGACAAGACCATGCAATTTCTTAGGCCATACATGCACAGAAACTTCAGGTGTTTCTGTGTGTCCTCCATCAGTAGGTGTTCTCTCTGAGACCTCACTCCGGAATGAATGAGCTTGCTCGTGCCACCAGCCAGCTCTGATGAGCTTCATCCATGCATTAACATCTGTCACCCACCAAGGTGACATTCCCCTTGAAGGCTACAGTTCTCCAAGATAAGCCAGGGCAGAAAGGGCAACCAGAGGCACAGAACAGGTCTTAGGAAGTCATGTCTTCCCATCAACACTTATCTCCCTTCTGGGAATGCCCAGCTGCTCATGGATGGCAGTACCAGTTGATGTACCTTTTAAGAGCTTTCCACAACTCCATCAGTCTTACTTTTAGTTCAGCTGCACAGGAAGCTAGAAGTTGTCTGCCTATCCTGACTTAGGCGAGGCCTCCTGACATGGTCATAAAGCATGCAGGTCTCTGTGACTCCTGTTTTCTCTCTGATCCTGCCTCTTCCCACCTCAGTTCCTCAAAAAAGATGTCCTTGCTGCAGAAGATGTCCCTGAGGGTCCGGAGCCCTGAGCTAGGATAAGCAAGAAAGACCTGGCACCCTTCCTTCCCCCATATCCTACTTAAAGACCTTCACAGTACCATATGTCTCCACTGACCCTTACCAACTCCCTGCTTTCCTGAACACATCGCTTTGATTGGTCCTGCCCTCGGGTTGCTATGGTGACAGATACAAACAGCACTGATGTTATTTCCCAGAATGGACAGACGCTATCCATCCCCCACACAGAGGAAGCCCTTCCCTGACTTCTCCTCAATGGCCTGTCCCTGCACCCACCCCTAGGGAGCATCAGGACTCTCCAGATGTCCCACCTGATGGGGTTGTCTGGCAGGATAAAGAGGCCTAGGAAGGAAGGAAAGATCTAGTAGGGTGGGCTGGGTCTTGGAGGAGGAGGAGGAGGAGGAGGAAGAAAAGGGACTGTCGGGAATCTCTGCATGCTGAAGCTAGGGTCACTTTTATCTGTACAGACCTAAGCCTGCTCAGCAGAGCCAACAGAGGACTGAAGAGAAAAGCAGAAACCAAGGTCTGTGTTTGGCAAGTGGACAACAAGGCCCAGAGTCAGGAAGTCGGTTGCCTCTTGTGACTCAGGGTCTGCTTTGTCTTTAAGGCCCTGTTGCTCTCTGGGTCTTAGGGACCTTAATACTTTGGTTACACTAAGCCCTGACTAGAGCTCCTCATCCCTGAGGTGGCTGAGGAGCACCCGAAGAAATAAGCATGGTGCAAGGAGAGTGTCGAGGGGCTGAGGGAACCAGAGGGCAGGGTCCTAAGGAGCTGGAAACCTGAGGCAGCTTCCTGGAAAGTGAGCTGGAAAGTAACCTTTGGATGAGGAGGATGTTCCCAGCACCAAACAGGATCTTGGAAGGGCAGGATGAGGATGGGAGAGCACACAGTCTGCTCTGACTGAGCCGAGATGTCTCCGTAAGCCAAGGCTGAGAGGGACCAGAATAGCTCTCGGGACTAAAAGTATGGCACGAGGAAGAAAACCCTGGAATTCCAAGGGGAGATCAAAAAGAGCTCCAGCCCCCCCCACCCCCAACCCCACCCCAACTGAACTGCAATCCTCCTTACCCTCCACGTGACTCTCATGTGGCGAGAGGTAGAAACACAACCAGAAATGTTCCAGCAAAAAAAAAGGCACGATGGTTCTCAGTAGACTTTTTTTGGCTAGAACATTTCTAGCTGGGCTCCAGGCATATCCGCAGTCCACCCCTTTCCTCAATGCTCACCTCTCCCAACTTGGCTCTCCTCTGAATCCTTCCCTCTATCATTACAACAGTATCCTACCCCCCGCCCACCGTGAGGCCCAGGATGTAGCACCTCCCACAGGACCCCTGCTGCCCTGCACTGGGTATGAAATGCTCTCCCCACAGGACCTTAGTATTTGAGGACAGTATCCTCCATGGTGTGGTGGCAAGGTAAAGGGTCAGGGTAGGGGGATGTGTGGCCATATGAGAGTAGAAGCGTCTATTAAGAAAGGAGATGCATTTTTTTTTTAAGACAGGGTAGGGTCTGCCACCCCTTGCTACAGGTTCCCATGGAGGTGGGGTGGTGAAGGACAGTTGGCCTTACCCCAGCCGATGCTTAGGTACAGCTTGAAGATGCGCTGCTCCGAGAACACTGAGAAGGCCAGCAGCGTGTACAGGTACACACCCTCCACCAGCAGCCAGTAGTAGTTGACCGCCACGCAGTACTGCATGAGCAGGAACACCAGTCGGCAGCTCAGAGAGTCCTGGGGACAAAGAAGGGTCCCGTCGGGACAGCAGCCCTGCCTGCACCTGCCGCTCCTCACTGGCCTGGCCTGGCCACTGTCCTACCATGCTTAACACAGGATGAAAGCGTTTTTCATACGGTCAGGGCCACTACTGCCTCTGCTTTAGTTCATTGAATCCTCCCTAACCTGAGAAAAAAAAAAGTGCCTGCTATTGTCCCCATGCTGGGAAGAGAACTGAGTCCTGGAGAAGTTATACAATGTGTCTGAATTTATATACAGCTAGTGCATGGCAGAGCTGGGATGCAAACTCAGGTCTGCCTCCAGAGTTCTTCCGGTGTCCCACTGAACTCCCTATGGCAGAGTCTCTTACCTTGGACTCACTTGCCCAGGGTGAACTGTCTCCTCCATCAGACTAGGGGCTTCCCGTGGTGGACTTCCTCTTCCGTCAGACTGGGGGCTCTGGGTGTTGGACTGCCTCTCTCAACAAACTAGGCCTCTCTCAGAGTAGACTGTCTCTCACATCAGACTAGGGGTTTCCCACGGTGGACAGCCTCCTCCATCAGACTAGGGACTCCCCAGGGGCTCCCTAGGGTGTCTTACCTCTCCCATCAGACTAGGGGTTTCCCACATGGTAGACTGCCTCTCCCATCATACAGGGACTCTCTGAGGCCAAATCTGGGATACTTTTGCTTTTACCCATCCCAGACTGACACAGTGGACCCCTTCACCAATGTCCTTCCCTCCCCAGGCTCCCCAGGCCACGCCACGCACCTGATACGAGAGGAGTCCATCCCACTGGTGCTGTTGGGCAGCCGTGCTATACATCCATTTGAGGGCAGCATCCTTGATGAAGACGGACAGGGCTCGGAGGATGAAGGATGCAAACAGGTTCAGGTGGATGTAGTTCCGGGTGCAGTGCAAGTGTCTGAGGGAGAAAGCAGGGCCCTTCCCTGGCAAGATGGCCAACGCTGGCTCCTGGCCAGCCCCCACACACGTCAGGCACGTGTGTCTCTCTCTCTGGGACTATGTTCACATCTTCCTTCCTCTGAGAATGTCGTTCTTCCTCACAACCTTTGAAAATCCCTAAAGCGTTGCCTAAGAGGCCCTCAACCAGGCAGTCACCGCCTGTTTCCTACCCATTGTCTCTCCTTGCCACGGTGCCTTCTCTCATACAGTTACGGGTAACCAAAGCAATGTATGTGTCGGATCAGTCTTCCCAGTCGGGGCTTTGATTCTTTGGGACAAGACACTTCTGGACTGTTCTCTGGGGCAGAGTGTGTCTAGGCATACGGTAGGAATTAAGGAATTGGGTACCATGTCAGTATGCTCTCCGGTAAAAATGTGTAGCAGGGCTGAGGAGATGGCTCAGTGGGTAAGAGCATATACTGTGTAAGCATGAGGACCTCAGTTCAGATCCCCAGCGCTCACCTGGAAAACCAAGAGTGCACATCTGTAACCTCGGTGCTGGGGTGGGGGGTGGAGAGTGGGGCGGAGAGACCAGAAGATGACTGGGGTTTGCTGGCTGCCAGCCTAGCTCCAGGTTCAGTAAGAGACCCTGTTCTCAAGCAAATAGTGTAAGAGTGACAGAGAGGGACATCCGATGTTCTTCTCTGGCTTCCAAATGCTTGGTATGCAAGCCATGTGCAGAGCATGCACATGCAAGCATGTGAACACACACACACACACACACACACACACACACACACACACACACACACACACACCACTGTGCAGCAAACTGGAAGTCTGAGGGCACTTCATCTGCTCAAAGGCTATCTCCCAAGCAAAAGGCAACTTCATTCTTAACAGAGGAACCTGGCAACTATTTTCTTTAAAACCAGCAGCCAGGCGAGGACGTGTGCTCTCATCACCTCTAACACTACTCTACAGACCCCAGCACTTCAACAGGGCCATGGAAGGGGTGAACCAGAACTGGTTATGGCTTATAGATGAGTCTTTTCAGAGAAACCCCAAAGCAATGTACGGGTGAACTATAGCAACTAAAGAGCTGGGCAAGATTGCGGACGGCTTCCCTTACACATCCTAGCAATATACAGTAAAAAGAAATTGAAGATCCATTCAGAAGGGTCTATTTGATTTCCTGAAAATATCTCTAACAAGAGGATGGGTAAGATCCTTATGGGCAACACAGTAAAATTGGTTTAAGATTATCGGAGAAGTCTTAAATTAGTAGGAAATACATAGTCACACCATACTTATCAACAGAAATGCCACTGTCACTGTCCCATGTCAAATAATGAATTCAAAGCAGCTGTAGTAAAATGTCAACTTTTTTTCATGGTACTTAAAAAGTTTACAAAGAATAGCTAAAGATCAAGGGTAGAGTGGGTGGTCATAAGGAACCATCAAGTGGCCCTTTCCTGTAATCCCAGCACGTTAAAGGTGAAGCAGGAGGACCAGGAATTTGAAGCAAGTCTAGGCTACAAAGCAAGGCCCGGTTTCAACAAGACAACCCCCAGTAGGGGCATGATTTGCACACCTATAATCCCACCACTTGGAAGGTGGAAGCAAGGGAATTAGGAGTTTAAAGCCAGCCTCAGCCACAAAGCAAGTTCAAAGCCCACCCAGATTACATGAGACCCTGTCTCAAAACAATCAATACACAAAAGAAATCACAACATAGGAGTCTTTGCTGTAAGACAGCTAGGATTTCTCTGTGTCTATGTATGTGATGCCTGCACATATGTGTGCATGTTCATGGGTGTGAGTGGGAGTGCACGGGCCGAGGTCGGATGACAACCTCAGGTGCTAATCCTCACCATCTACCTTGTTTGACAGTCTCTGGTTCATACTCCTCACACCAGGCTGGCTGGTCCAGGAACTTCCTAGGGTACTCTTATCTCTGCCTTCCATGCCACTGCAGGAGCGCCAGGCCACAAACACATGCCTCCAACCATATCTGGCTTTCTGTAGGTTCTGGGGATGCAAACTCAGGTTCTCACACTCGAGTATCAAATGTTTAACTCACTGAGCCATCTCCGCAGCCTGAGGGATGGGATTTATCTTTATTTCTCCTTTAAAAAATGTTATTATGTTAATTAATTAATTTTATGTATATATGGCATACATGTATGTTTGGCATATGGCATACATGTATGTTTGGGTCCACACATGCCAGGACACTTGTGTGCCGGCCAGAGGTCTGGGAACGAATTTGGAGGAATCAGTTCTTTTCTTGCACTGTGTGGATCCAGGGATTAAACTCAAGTCATCAGGGTTGGCCTTTACTTACTGGACCGAGACCTTAAGTTTCTAACAAACCTTTAGGAGACAAAGTGCTACGGTTTGGGAATAGGGTAGATAAACAGACCGACAGAACAGGATGTAAACAACAGGAATAAACCTACGAATCCAGGGGCCCTTGCGCAAACCAACACTGTCAGCAAAGGCACAGGGCAGTGGCCGCGGACCTACGGGGGGAGGGGACAAAGTCCCAGGTCCTCGCCTGACACCCACTTAATCCCAGTGGACTGAAGAGCCACAGGGCAGAACAAGACCCTGCAGCTTCTTGACAGGAACAGAGCTGAGTGGCTCTGCAACCATCAGATAAGAAAAGATTGCTCAAGGGAGAGCCAAAGGAAATCTAGTCTTCAGGAAAAAAATTAATGAATGTCTATCAGTTGATAAAAATAACTTTTGCTAATTAATAGTTCCTATTGATACGTTTTACTTATCAATAAAAAAAGGATAGTTGGCCAATTTCATTTCATTTAAACATAGAGCTCCTGTGTATAAAAGGCACAGAGTTAAAAAAAAAATTGGCATAGATTAAGGATATCTTGGGTTACTATCCAGATAACAAATGCCTAAAACAAGCCATGAAAGCCATGAGCAAGCAATACATAGACTAAAATATGAAAATAAAAATCTCTCTGGGGGCCAAAGATAAGCAAATTGAAATCATAACAAGTTCTTTTGCACGCTTTATAGATCAACCTCACTTAATTCTGAAAATATTAAATGTGGATAGGGTCTGAAGCAAGGGGAACCTTCTTCACTGGTGGCCAGAGCACAGACTGGCAGCAGCCAGCTGCCTGGCCAGCCACCTAACACCAGCTGACAAAATACTGAAAACCAGGCAGGTGGTTACTGGTGACAACTGGGGATATACTTCTGCGCATATGCCCCCAGGAAACACACAGGCCAAAACCACAGAAAAAAAAAAAAAAAAACATTGTTGTAAGGTTTGTAATGCAGAAAGGAAAAATCAACAAAACGCTTCAAAGATCCACGACCCGTGTGATGACACAGGAATACAGGGCCAGCTCAAGTTAATGAACTAGGACTGCCTGTATCAGAATGAACCTCACGAAAACACAGTGTTGGACTCCCATGCCCTCGGAACTGCAGCAGGACATGGTCACTATGCTGTTGAAAATATCAGCGACCCACGCTGTGTGTTCTTATAGACACTCAGCACAGGAGTACAAGGTAATGAGATGGAGTGGGAATCAGGTCCTTACAAAAAAGGATTAGCGCTTCAGGGGCGGATGTGGGGACCTGGTGGATGTGCTTTGCTTTGTATTGTAGCTCAGGCTAGCCTGGAACTTGTTATGTAACCCAGACCAGCCTTGAGCTTGTGGTAATCCTCTTGCCTTGATCTAAGTGCTGGGATCATGGGTGTTTACCCGTAATCTGACTTGTAATAATTTGGGTTTTTTTTTTTCCATTTTTCCTGAAGGTGTGCGCATGTTTTCCCACAATTGTGTGTGCACATGTGTGCATGTAGGGAGGCCTGAGGATGATGTTGGGAATCTTTCAACGTTGCTCTTTCAACTTTTTCTTTGAGTCAAGGGCTCTCAATCAAACCCAGAGCTCACTGAGATGGCTAGCCTGGCTAGCAAGCTGGTTCTGGCGATCCTGTTTTAGCCTTCCAAGGCAAAAAATTATAGGTGAGCCACCATGCCCACCTGGCATTTATGTGGCTTTCTTAGGATCTGAACTCTGCTTCTCACATTTACGTGGCAAGTACTTTAACTGCAGAGTCCTCTCCCCAACTCACAATGCCTTAGTTCTAAACATGTATTCCTACATGCATTTTCACTATACTTCTGAATCTCTGGACTAGTTCACAATAAGAGTATTTGATATGATTTGAATATGAAATCTCTCTGGGATGTGTAGATTGGGATGGTGACACTATTTAAGGGGTGATGAACGCTTTATGGGGTGGAGCCTAAGTGGAGGAAGTAAGTCAAAGGGGCGTGCCTTTGAAGAATAGACTCACTCTTCAGTTCCTTCCTCTTTCTGCCTCCTGTCCATCAGGAGATGAATAGCTCCCTCTGGCATACACTCTCATGGCCATGATTTTCTCCCCAATTCCATGGGGGTCAAGTAGCCAAAAACTGAACCCCCCAAAATCATGAGCCAGAACAAAGCCTTCCACTCTGAAACTGTCCTTGCATGTATCTCTCTGGCACAAAAAGAAGCTAACACAATACTCATCCAACGAATGCATTTATTGAACACCGACTGTATTCCAGGTGCTTTAGCGGCAAGAGGAGAAAACCCACACCCCCTGTTTTTATAAAATATTTATGTTTATTCTTTTAAATATGTGTATGTTGTGGTGGGTAAGAGCACGTGAGTGCAGGTCCCATAGGGTCCAGAAGAGGGCACCGTACCCCCTAGAGCTGGAATTACAAGTGGTTGTGAGCTGCCCAGCATGGGTATTGGGAATTGAGCCAGGGTCCTCTGTTAGAGTGGGATATGTTCTTAAATGCAGAGTCATCTCTGCAGCCCCATCTCTCCTATTCTTGATAGTCAAGATCCAGAGGTTTCTGTCCCCACAATTCTTCTGACCTTAAACTCAGTTTCCCTCACTTACCCCAGAGAGATTAAGGAAGCTGCTTCTCAGCCCCTCCTCAGCTAGGTTAGACCCAAGAAAGAACTTTCCAGTGGCGTTAACAAGCTCCGAGACAGTAGAATCTCTGAGACTTTCCTGAAATCATGCTGAACTATTGATTATTATCTGCATGATGGATGTGACTTCTTGGAATCTCCCATCACCTTACCATCCACTGTCACAATTTGTGTGTGTGTGTGTGTGTGTGTGTGTGTGTGTGTGTGTGTGTGCGCGCGTGCGCGCGCACTCATATGTAATTTTTTTTGGAGTGCACATGCGCAGTTACATGGTGGAGATTAGACTGAACACACTGTTGCAACCTGTTTTCAACCTCATGTTTTCCAGGAAGTTCTAGAAAGCAGGACCCTGACTGCTTTGGCTTGGGATTCCTCTCCTATGGAAATGAGCACAAGACAGTCCTCTCCCTCCCGCCTTGAGCTCCCCTTACCTGAAGCCAACAAGGATGGCTGAGGCAATGACCAAGGCAGAGAAGGAAAGTGCGTAGCCCACGGTGTAGATAATGTACAGAGACAGGAGCTGTTCCTCAGGGGAGTTCTGTGTGCATAGAGGGACACAAGGATGTCTGCACAGCCTGTGAGCCTCCTCCTCCCATAGCCTTCATTCCAGAGTCCAGGGACTGAGGTGACCTGGGGCCCCACCTGGGATTCCAGGATCAAGGAAGAGCGTGACCTATGGAAGTGGTCCAGGGATGTTTACAACCTGGCTCCAAGGTGAGCACACATCACCTTTGGCCAGACGGCAGATGTGCAGAGTCACCCGAAGCACGGGGACAGATGTGACAACAGCCAGCCCCACCCACGGCCCAGAGTCTCTGCTCCCATGAAGCAGACACCCCCGCGGCCCCTTCCCAGGATCAGAAGCCGACAGCTCACTCTCTCCCCTCGCTTGGACTCTTCACACTCCGACAGGTCCCTCCAGGGCAGGCTGGAGTTGTCCTTCTGCAGCCAGAGACCCTCGGCCGTGCAGAACCGGTACACATGGCCCTGCAGCACTAGAGGAGGGAGACATGGCAGCTGAGGTTCCGCCCAGAAATGAGCAGCCCACCCAATGTTGTCCTTATCCTTTCCTCTCCTGGGGGACCCCACTTCATTAGAGGACTCTTCTGAGTTAGTAACAGGCACGTCCTCTGTGTTCCCATTCACACATACACACACACACACACACACACACACACACATACACACACACATGCACGCGCACACACACATATGCATGCGCGCACACACACACACGCACACACACACACACACACACACACACACACACACACCATGATGGTCCAGGTACATGACAAGAGATTGCACAGCAAGGATCACCCAGTCACCTTCATCTGTCCCTCTTAGACACCCAGGGACACAGTTGAGTAAATCCATAGCTTTTAGACAAGACAAATCTAGTTTGGATCCGTCTTATCCCCCAGTCTCAGATCACACTGTTGACAAGGTCTGGTGCTGAGCAGAAGGGACCCTGCCAATCACAGTCACCCTCTATGATTTCTGATATTCCAGACTCAGAGTCCGTCCCCTCCTGCATTCTCTGGGGGATAGACAGCCCTAAAACTTAAGCTGTCTGGTACTGAACTTCTAAGAACAAAACTAAAGCAACCTCTCCCTCAGGGAGCCCCACTCTGCGGAGACATGGCCTGCCAGGGAGCCCCAGTCTGAGGAGACTTGGCCTGTTCTCAGGGAGCCCCAGTCTTAAGAGATTCAGACTCCCTCTCAAAGGCCTCTAAAAGGAACACAAAGTGTTGTGGTGCCGTCATAACTGCTGCTCTTGGAACTTTTCCCTTCAAGTCAGGAGACAAAGCTTGCTCCTTCAACTAACCCCTAGTCCTATGTTCAAGAAGGAAACTGCTCTTTGAGACCTGCTCCTCTGAGAGAAGGCAACAACTCGGCCCTGCCTTCATTCAGTTCCCAAAAAAGAGCAGTGAAAAGGGAAATCAGCAGGGACCCAACACAGTCTCAGCAGAGCTGGGAGTGGGCTGCCACATGTGGTCTTCACATCCACTCGACTACCGGGGTGCTGGGACAGTTCCCATCATGCCCTACTGTGGACCTGTGGACCTGTCTAGGGAGATGAGAGAGAGGAGTGGATTTTAGCCCAAAACTCCATGTAAAGCCAGCAGAGCGCTCTATTTATCTAGGAAATGCCCCGGAAGCATCTCTAAGGCCTTCCAAACGGTTGGGCACATATACAAGCAGGGGAGAACAGGTGCGTGCTCTCATTTTAGCATCGTGAAGGGCCATCCTCAGGTCCCCAAATGCTTCTCTCATCTGCTGCATGGATGCTTAAAAATTCTTTAATGGGAGTCCAGGCTTCTGGCAGATACCAAATCTGTCTTTAGCTGTAGATACACCCCAAGAATGGTGACAGGGAGCTGGGCCACCTTTGTGGGAATGACATTGGTACAGAGCCTGCTCTGCAGTCTGAACAGGAGGAAGTGGGGAGAAGGAACCTTGGGAGCTAGGAGAAGGGAGAAAACACGGCGCTGGATTCTTCCCACAGCTGGCATAAAGCCCGGTAGACAGTAGACACTGTACCCTGCATGCACTGTGCACACAGTAGGTACTATATCCTCCTGCATTCACTGTGCACACACAAGGCTCTGAACTCTACATGCACTGTGCACACACAAGGCTCTGAACTCTACATGCACTGTGCACACAGGAGGCACTGTATCCTATGTGCACTCTGCACATAGTAGGAACTGCACCCTACATGTACCGTGCACACAGTAGGCACTGTACTATTGTAGGCTTCCTCCCTACATGTACCGAGTATGTTGTCTCTCAAGGCTACTTACTCACAGAATCAGGTTTTGAATACCTACTGTATGCTTACACCTTAGAACATCATAGCCACCTCACCAGGTTAACCATTTTACAGATGAAAACACTGAGCCTCTGAGAAGCCGAGCGGTCTGCTCAAGACCAGGCCGATAGGAAGAAGCACAGGCAGGATTCTAACTCCCGGCTCCCTGCCTCCGGGGGGCCCAAAACTTAGCAGCCAGAGTTGTGCCCAGAGTCCATCGTGGCCAGGTGCTGTTTTCTCCTGTCCTTCCCTGGGTTTGGATTTCCACACATGCCATTGTGGCCCCCAGACAGCCTGCAAAGTTCTGGGCTCTCTGCTCAGGGCCAGCTTGGGAGTGGGAAGGTAGTGTGTGCATGGATGTGTGTCTTCTTGGCTTAGAGTCAAGAGATCACTGTGTCTCAGAGAAGCGCAGCCTGCAAGTTCATCTGTCAGTTAGCCCTCGTTAACATCAAATATTAAAAGCCGCGGCTGGATACTGGCTGAGCCCATGGTCCCCAAATGCCCTTCTTGGCTGGAGGTGGGTGGTCTGGGCAAAGCCCTGCTTATCAGCCCAGCCTTTATCTGGCCTGTGAGGAGCTGGCCAATCACAGCCACGGGCTTGGCTTGGTGTAGTCAATACGAGGAGACAACCAGGCGGCCACATGCCAGGAGGCCCAGGCATATTTCATTAAGTCAGCCCCTGGTGCTGGAAATAAAACCCCCAATTAAACACTTCGCCTCCCGGAAGCTGCCACGGCGTCTGTAATCAAGCTAACAGTCACCCTTCCACGTGGACGGCGGGCACTCAAAGCTGTCGAGAGCCGCTCACGAATCTATTAGCTCCCGCACCCTGGCAACAGAGGTGGCTGGCAAGGGCCGGGGGGCCCCCATTTCGCAGATGGAGATGCTGAGGGTCAGTGAGGCTGGCACCCCTCCCAAATGTAACAGGATGGGGCAGGGTCAAAGGCAGGGGCCGAGAAGCTTGGAGCATCGGGATTCAGGATGAGGCCAGGTTCCGAGTCCCGACTCAAGTGCAAATCCTGGTTCCACTCTTGATCAGCTGGGGCACTTCGGGAGCGTTACTTCCCTGGCTCTCAGCTTCCTCATCTGTAAAATGGGAACCATTCCTAGGAGAATGTGCAGGAACAGCCTGGTGCATGGTAGGCCTTCGGCTGACACACAGTCACACGGAGGCCTTGCTACCTCCTCCAGCTTTGTGAGGCCCAACTTGGGCCTCAGTCTCCCCTTGGTAACCCTGGCTTGCTTAAAAGCTCCCAGGCTCAACATTACTCAGGGAAGGCAGCCTGTCAAGAGTTTCTAAGAATTGTGAGTGATAGGCTATTTTAAAAGCATTTTATGACCCTCATATAATTAGAACTAAGCTAACAAACAGGTAGGAACTGGAGAGGAGGGGCTAATGAGGCTGGGATGATGTGTAAGGCATGGGTCCCCGCTCGAGAGTAAACGGGGCTGCCAAAAGGCCTGGAGACAGCCAACAGGCTGGAAGGCTTCACAGACCTTCGAAGACTCTCCCTTCTTGTCCTGTGTGGACCAGACTCTTCCATCATGGTCCTCTTCCTACTCTCTCCCTCCACCCCTTCTACACCCTCTGGAGCCCCGAGTCCATGACAAGGGTCAGAATGCAAGGCTTAGAATGTTTTTTTTTGGGGGGGGGGACACTGAGCACCTCGGAGGCCTGGGGTCTTGGCCCTGTGTCCAAGGTGCCCCCTGAGCATCCGCCCTCCACATGTCTGCCTATGCCTGTTCTCCCAGCCTGGTCCCAGTGTCACCTGTCCTGATGTCACCCCCAGGACACAGACATCTCCAACTCCGTGCCTCTGCTTGGGCCATGAGGTTGACCCTCCGGCTCCATGCGGCTCCCCTGCAGATGTCACCCAAACATAACTCTAGCTCCAGACAGGCACTTAGCTCAGCTATGGTCGTTGGCTGGTTTGAATTTAGTTCTGTCTGAGGCCACCCACTCCTCTGCCTTGCTCTGAACCCCAGGAGGCCGACTCCTTCAGGGCTGCACCATACAATTCTTACTGGTCAACAGGAAGACACCAGCAGAAAATATCGGGATAAGAGAGAAAGAACCTGGACGTCCTCTCTCACCCCTGCCCTGCTTTGTCTCTCCGTGGGCACCCTGCTGGTGGCCTCTTTACCCTAACTCCAGGCATCATGGGGACCTCTGGCCCCAAGCCTACACCTTCCTTCTCTGGCCCTTGGGGGTGCGGAGCGCTGTTGATTACACTCCTTCCCATTCTTCACTGGGCATGTTTTCCAGAGAAACCGCCAGAGACAAGGCCCGCCTGTCATCTCCCTGTCCCCAGCTCACGCTGTGAGGCATCTCCACCAGCTGCTCCCTGAGGCGGGCTAAGAATGCTCCAGAGGCGGCCCCTTCCTCATCCCCCCCCCACAGCCCTGGGTGGGACTGGGGAGCCCCTCTAGTATGGTGATTGCACTGTGTGAGTCCAGTGGGTGTCTCTGTGGGTCCTCAGCTCAGGAGAGGGGAGGCAGAGCTGGTGATCTGGGTGTCCAAAAAAAAAAAAAAAAAGAGGGGGAGTAAATTAGCCTGGTGAGAAGGGAGGGGAGGTTGCTGGCAGGGGGCCTGTGCAAGGCCGTTATCTTCATGGAGAAAGCAATAAAACCGTGTTCGCTCATAAACGGGCACCACCAGGACCTATTTCCTGCTCAAATAAAATTAAAGGTGATGGATGGAGCCGCAAGCACAGGCAGAGCTGGGGGCGCTTAGTGCTGAGTGATAGGCTCTGTCCCGCGCCTGGCTCCCTGGGGTCTAGGGGCTCAGCCAGGATGCCCAAGCAGAGGTCCCAAATCTCTGAGGCAGGGAACCTGTGCACCGTGTAGGAAGTTGCCCAGTCACGTAGGGCGGGTGGGAAAAATGAACAGAGACTTGTTTTCCCCCCCAAGGGTCTCCAATCCTCTCCCATCCACATCCCTTGGCTCCATCCCAGCTCCAGAGTGAGCCAAGAAACCAGCGCACAGAGAGGTCTAGGAACTGCTCCTGACCACACAGCCACCTGGGTCCTCAACAGGCAGGGCCACAGGATCGCACCGCACGGCTCAGAGGGCAAGGGCAGGATCTCGTTGCCCTGACTAATGTGTGCCCAGCCAATGGAGGTCATTCAGACCCCCTCACCTGTCTCTGGCCCCAGGGCCGCACACACATGCAGGCGCTGCCTGGCTCCCAGGAAGCCTGGCTCAACAATCACACAATGAAATGCGGAGACTAACCCCACCCCCTGGACTGATGCCCAGGTCTGCCAAGCCAAGCTAGCTGTGTGTCTTGGAAAAGTCAGGTCATATCTCTGTGCTTCAGCTCTCTCATCAGGCGGGAGGGAAAATGGGAGTAATTGCCTCAGAGAGTTATGGGCAGGATTGAATGAGTGTCTTGCCTGTCAACAAGCGAGGTGTGCTGAGGAATTCTGAGTGGAGGGCCACTGACCCACTTGGAACCTGCCTTTTTCAGACCCTGGTTTGTCTTGAGTAGCACGAGGAGAAATGGGTGGGGCCTCTCTAGAAGACCTGCCTGAGCCCCATCAGACCATACTTTATGCTAAAGAGAAGTTCATGTCCGGCCTGCCAGGCCACCTCCTCCAAGAAGACCTCTGGCTTCTCCCAAGCCTGACCTCATTCCTATGCTTGCTCACAGGCTGGTTTCTGCTGAGGATAATGGCCAAGAAAAGTACTAGGTTCTCAGGATTCCACCAGTCACCACCTCATTGGGAACAAGAGACTAAAATCTCTCAGCGCCCCAGTTTCCTCGTCGAGGCAAGCGCATCCCCTTAGGACAGAACTGGACTCAAGTTAGATATTCAATAAGTACTGGCCATCATTCCCTTATGAAATATCTTTGCCGGGCTGGGCAAATGGTTCAGTCTGTAAAGTACTGGTCATGCAACATGAGGACCTCAGTGTAGTCCCACAGCATCCATGTAAGAAGTAGGGCATGATAGCATGTGCCTGTGAGACAGCAGATCCCCAGGGTTTGCTAACCAGGTGGACAGTCTGTGAGGACAACCCAAAGTTGACCTCCAGTCTCTACATGGAGGACAGTACTTGTGGACCCACTCCTGTACATAACCATGCACCTCCATACATATGAACACACCCACATACACACAAGTGTCTTTTCCCTCCTTGTGAACACTGGGACTCCTTGCAGCAAGAATGCTTGTCCCCATTAGCTCCCACAGAGTCTCAGCATGGGAACTGGGATGGAGCAACAGGCCTGTAAATTACCACTGCAGTCATGGGCACCCTGGCCCTCCGCATGGCTCTGCGGGAAGCGAATCTCCCTCTAGGTCATACTTTCCCCGGTGTGGAGTCTCCCCTGCAGGCAGAGGTGAGCTGGACAAGGTCTGAGGGGCCAGCCCACCATGCCCTTGAGCACTACTTCCTGTGAACCGTTAAAAGAGTCAGGAAGAGCTGAGGTGTCAACTCTAGGACACGCGCGCGCGCGCGCGCGTGTGCGCGCGCGCGCACACACACACACACACACACACACACACAACGCAGTGACACTCCCTAGGTATCTATTTTCTGTCCCCCATGATCGGTTCCTCCCTCTTAGCTCCTTCGCTGACCACTAGGTCAGAGGGTCTCATTTCTGTCTTAAGTGATGTCCCACCCCGGCCTGCACAAGCACCAGATTTAGGACACCTCAGGCAGTTCCTACACCTGCCACTGCTGACTATCTAACCACCATCAAAGGGTGGTCCACCCTCCAGGGGGCCTGAGGACGTTCTGGGCCACGGGAACTGGGTCCCAGAAGAAGGGAGCCCATGTCCCATCCTGCCCCAGAGTCCTTGGAACATGGAAAGGGACACTCACCACTGCTGGCCCAGGGCAGGTACCAGGGGCAGCTGACATTCACGAAGGAACCTGGGGGCCCATCTGGCCAGCAGGCGTAGTCATCAAAGGTTCGGTTGCAGAAGAGGCCTGTAGAGGCAGTGGAGCAGTCCTTGAGTCCCAGGCTGCCATTCATTCTTCCTTCCTATCTCTTCCCCAGCTCCCGGAAGCTGCACTCCCCAACCTCTGATGAGTGATCACTGGATGTTGAACATGCTTCCCACAGGGATCACCAGACCCCTGGACACTAAGAACTCTCCCCATAGTGCTCACTAAGCACTCTCCCTGCAGGGATCACTGGATGCTGAGCACTCTCCTTACAGGGATCATTGGACCCTGAACACTGAGCACTCTCCCCATGGGGATCACTGGATGCTGAGCACTCTCCCCATGGGGATCACTGGATGCTGAGCACTCTCCCCATGGGGATCACTGGAAGCTGAGCACTCTCCTCACAGGGATCACCGGACCCTGAACACTGAGCACTCTCCCCATGGGGATCACTGGATGATGAGCACTCTCCCCACGGGGATCACTGGATGCTGAGCACTCTCCCCACGGGGATCACTGGATGCTGAGCACTCTCCCCGTGGGGAGGGACCAAGGAAGGACCCTGTTACTCATCAGGGCAGACCCTTAAGCAAGTTCCTTAACAACTCTCCGTCCTCCTCTGCAGAATGCAGGCATCTCCTGGCCCACAGAGCGTTGTTACAGCATGTGATGTGGAAGAAGGAATGGAGTAAGAGCTCAACGGGCATCTCCTATAAGCCATTTTTGAGCTGTTCTTCAGGGATGAAAGGGAAATGCTGGCTCATGAGGCTGAAGAAACCTTCCCCAGGTCACTGTGATGATCAGAGACAGGATTTGAACCCAAGCCCAGCTGGTTCCAACGCCGTGACCTTTAAACCACCCTATAAAGTTTTACTCCTGTTGGCTCAGTTGGTAGAATGCTTGTCTAGCATGCCTAAGGCCCTGGGTTCGGCCCTCAACACCGCATAAGCCAGGTGTGGTGGTACACAGGCACGGAATGCTAATGTTTGGGGTGTAGAGGCAGGGGGATCAGAAGTTCAAAATCATTCATGGTACATAGTGAGTAGGACGCTAGCCTGGCCTACATGAGATCTTGTCTGAAAAAAATAAAGATAGGTTTGTACAAATGTGTACATTGGGCCTTCACTCTATACACAGTTAAGGAAGGGCTGAGAACACAGAATGGAAAGTAGGGGCCCTGCTCTAGAGGTAAAGACAGCAACAAAGCAGCACCCACAAAGCTGCCTGCAGGAAATCGGGTGGGAAGGGAGCAGGAAGACACGTCATTGAAGACACAGTGTGGTCAGTCACCGGGAGAGAGGCCCAGGCAGACAGCATTCCAGAGAGACAAGCCACACCGTCGACGACGGACTTGGATCCTCAGAGCCTCCCTGGAGCTGTGTGGAGCACAGGCGTGAGGACGCATCCGGACTCACCTGTGGCCAGAGGTGGTGCTTCCGTGAGGAAGCGCTGGCACTGGCGCCGATATTCTCGCCATTTCTGCACTGTCTCTGAGAGGGACACCGTGGCGCCCTAAGAGGGAGAGCAGAAACGGAGGCCCATGGCTCCATCAGCCCCTTCCATTCCCACTCGCCTCCTCCCATCCTGTTGATTCCTTAATCTCCGGGGGACCAAAGCCCACCAGGAACTTCTGAGATGAGAGAGAGCCAGTGACTGCCACTTTGGGGATCCAGGCAGGACCTGTTTGTGTGGTTATCCTGCCCAGGCGACTGTGCAAGGCTGTGTAGAAAGTACCCAGCAAGTGTCTAAAGGACTGATGCTCAGGGAGGAGGGGTGAAGGGGAGTGCAGCCGGAGACTATGTGACTCACTCATGGTCCCATCTGCCCTTCATCTACCCTCAGCAAGGAGACTTCCTGAGGGACAGGGCTGCATCACAGCCTGGGGCTCCTCCCCCCACCCCCGCCCCATATCAGTCATGCAGGAGTTGTCTTGCTTCCAGCCATTCTAGGAGAGTCAAGAGAAGACTCCATCCAAGGCACACAGTATCTCAGGAAGCGGAGCTAAGGCTGGTACACACAGTCGCCTAGCTCAGTGACTAACCTGCAGCACCAGAGGATGCAGGACACCCAGGGATGCAGGATGTGGCCACAGGGAGGTCTTATAAAGAGCCAGAATTATCACCCACTCCCCCTGCTGGACTCAGCGGCTGCCCTACGAGGTCCACAGACCCTCCCGCGCCCCAGGGTCTCTTCCAATACAAGGCAGATCTGCTAGCAGCCTGGTTGCTAAGCCTCAGGAGGATAAGGGATGCTAAGGTCAGAGTGAAGACAGAAAAGTTCCAGAACACTGAAGCTGTGCCTGCACTGGGAGGTGGCCTCTTACCTGTGACAGAGGGACAGGAGCCTAAGTAAGTTTAACAGCACTGGCTTTAACAGACCCATTCTGCTGAGCACGTCCCGCTTCATATTTCTGAGTGTTCCCTTTAGCCAGCCTTGAGCTGTGGTGCTTTCTAACTTTTTTTTCACAAACATCCTTACAGATTATAAATATTACCCATTTAAAAGTGATAGATCTCAAAACAAGCAGAAAGCCCCTTGCATTAAAGTCGGGATTCATAATTACATTTGCATATGAGTGCATGCATGTATGTGCATGGGTGCACACAAGAGAAAACACGCATTGCCACAGTGTGCCTCGGGTATGTGGAGGTCAGAGGGCAGCCTGTGGGAGTTGGTTCTCTCCTTCCAACCACGTGGGGTCCTGAGGATTGAACTCACATCATCAGGCTTGCCAGCAAACACCTAATGAGCTACCTCCGCAGCCCAGAAGTTCCCTTTCTGAAGCCACAAGATGCACACAGGTGCTGATATAAAACGGCTGATTTTCAGATACCCGGCCCTGAAGTCCCAGTACACCTCCACCCCACCCTCCCAGACACACAACAGATCTGATTTCTGGGTGAGCCTGCCCTGGTTTGAGCAGAGTCCTAGTTCATGTGACATCACCACAGAACAACACACAGTGACATGTGCTTGTTCCTGGTGACATGGAAAGTTCCAGAAGCGGGGGGGGGGGGGGGCAGTGAGGTGGGGGGGGGTGTCAACCTTGCTCTGAATGCCACCAACATCTCTGGAGTAAGTGTGCTGGTGAGGCTGCCCTGAAGGACAAGTTCTTCTGAGAGCAAAGGTCAGCAGTATTTGCTTGGAGAATAAAAAGCAAAAGAATAAAAAGGGAAATCGAATGTGCCAACAGCAAAGGTGGGGTCGTGATTGGGGCCACTGCTGAGGGGTGGCAGATTCATCGGACTAAATCATGGCAGGCTGATGCCACATCCCCCTCCGCCCCGCCTTTCCTAGTTCCCTCCTCCTCCTCTATTCTCATTGCCCTGAAGGCAGTGGTGCCCGTGAGGGCAGGGAGTGACAAGGAGGAATCTCACAATGTCTGCTCTTAGGAGGAGAAGTGGCAGAAAGCAAGGCCATTGCTGGGAACTGGGGCAGCAGGTGTGTCTAGCCAGGGAGTACAGAGGAGGCCCAAGAAACCAGCGTCTCCCAACGGACAGGAGGGGTCGGAGGCCGGAGACGGGACCTTGATGGCTAGCCACCATGGGAGCTTCGAAGAGGCTTTGACTTGGACAGTGACTAAGAGCAGAGTGAAGACATGAAATTAACTTCAGACCGGGGTTCTGTAAGGACGGGGCCTGGTCCCCCTCAGATTGGGGCTCTGTTAGGACGGGGCCTTGTTCCCTTCAGACTGGGGCTCTGTTAGGATGGGGCCTTGTCTCCATCAGACTGGGACTCTGTTAGGACGAGGCCTTGTCTTTCCCTCTGCCCCCCTGAAGCCACAGAGTGTCAATTTTAGATGGTGCTAAGTAGAGGAGACGGTGGGCAGACACTGTCCTGAGAGTCTTGGGGCTGTTTGTGGCTGAGGCTGGATGCTTCGAAGGACAAATGATGAAGAAGGCACTTGGGTGTAAGACCTCAGGGAGTGGTCAGGGCAGATCTCAGTGCTGACCTGAGGGGTCATCTAGGGGCTGAGAGGTACAGGAAGGGGACTGGCCTAGCAAGAAAGGCATTTCAACAGGAAGACACAGTAGGGACAAAGGAGCCGAGGTGAGCAGACTGGGGAGGTGGCCCAGTCTACAGAGTGCGTCCTGCAAACCCATGAAAGTTTAAATTTCACACCCAGAACCCAAGTTCTGGGTACAGTGGCACATACTTTTAATCCTAGAGCTGGGAAGGTGGGGACAGGAAGGGCCCTGAGGGACACTGCTTAGCACGATAATCAGGCCCCAGGTCCCAGAGACAGAGACCACCACCCCAGAAGCAAAACAAAATAAACAAAAAGGCATATGGCTCTTGAGGAACACCACTCAGGTGTGACCTCTGTCCTACACACACACACACACACACACACACACACACACACACACACACACACACACACGTACATATGCATGAATGCATGCATGGCCACAACTCATGGACCTCCCCACATGAACACACATACATGTACACGTGGATGTCCAGGGCAATCCTATCCCAGAGATAGGATCTGGGATAATCCTCGTGGAAGCTGGGGCCACCGGGTACCACAGGTCCTGGCGTCGTCCAGGTGACAAAGCAAACAGTGAGTAGTCCTAGTTTGGGGGTCAGATCTGCACTGATCCTGCAGCTCTCCCACAAATTAGGTCCATGATCTGGTGCGCGTGTCAACGTCTAGCTTCAGCTGGCTTTCGTGAAAAGGAGCCACAAGAATCCACGCGTCAAGGGCCATGACAACTGAGCTTCTGCTCACAATAGCCCCTGGCACATGGGAGAGGCTGGTTCTGGGGATTCCACTGTTTAGAAGACAGGCTGGAACCCCAAGCCTGGCTTCCTGAATCTGGGGGGTCTTCCTTCTAATTTCAATAAACTCCCAGAAGAGTAAAATTAACATGGCTGTCCCAGGGCAGCAACGCTGGTTAGGACAACAGATTGGGAGCCTCATGGGCCAGGACAGGCTAGTATTTCCTAGGGCCAGCACTTCTGGAGTGCTTGAAAAAAAGGAGGATCCATGCCCAGGTGGAGGGGACAAGAAGGAGGGGATGTCCCCAGGAGCAGTAGCAAGGGATGCAGAATGGAACGCTGAGGAGCTCACAGCCTGCAGATGGTGCCCGCTGTCTGCTCCGTCCACAGCCTGCACCCTGGCACCGGGCATCCTCCGCAGGCTCAGCAGAAGCGTGTGCACCAGGGCTTTTCCTTTTCGGGGAACCATTTGGGTTGAGGGGTAGGAGAAAAGAGTGCTCAGTCTCACTTGACCACTGAGGAGGGAGGAAGGAGGGAAGCGGGGTCCCTCAGAAGGGCTCCAAAGACAATTTACAGAACACCCTCCTCACCCCAACTAGGTTCAACCCTGCAGAATCTCTGCCATTTCCTCCTGGGACATCACGCTTTTCTTCTGGTCCCCGCTCAGAGCCTGGATCACGCTTCCCATTGCTGAGTCCTATATTTTTGCATCTATGTTTTGCTTTCTTAAGGTCCTTCCTGAGGTAGCTGACCAGATGGACAGGGCAAAGAAAGCTGCAGGCACCTTCTCTCAGACTCAGGTACCTTCTCACAGATACACGGTCACGCGCAATACCCCTCACACCCTCAGGGATGTTCCCAGCACTGAGACGCTGACATTGAGTCTCCCGTCCCCACACCATCACACTCAGACTGCCAGGCACACAGGCACATGCTGAAACACTGACCAACACACACATACACACACACCTGACCCACACAATCACACACAATCACATTGTCCCAAGCACAGTACCTCTCCCCTACATGGACACATACCAGAAGATCCCATTCACTCATCAGGCTGTCACCCACAACCCCATACCTTCCCCAAAGCACAGTATAACAGGCAGAATACCAACACACACACACACACACACACGCACACACACGCACACACACACACACTGTTGGATACGTGAATACAGTGATTCCCATCCAGATTGTCACACAAACACACTGAGAAATAGGAAATCTTGTATACCTTGCACACTTATCTCCTACTCTATCTCTACCTCATGTGCATCTCTTTGTAACAGAGAGAGAGAGAGAGAGAGAGAGAGAGAGAGAGAGAGAGAGATTTGCCTAAGGATGGGTGCAGTAAGTGAAGGACCTGTTTTTCCTCAGCACCAGGCACTGGAGGACAGGATGTGGTTTCTTGGCTGCTCCTGGCCAGCCCTATGCTGGGTCCACGTCTGGAAGGAAGCCCAGCCAGGGACAAAGTCCACCCAGGCCAAGCCGTAGCCTCAGCCTACACTGCCCTTTGCCGGAGTGCAGAGGCCGGGGGCTTCCAACAGTCCTGCTCCAGGCTCAGTTCTGCAGCCTGGGGACACAGCCGGTTCCAAAGGACAGTTCTCCCAGAGGTCTCAAGCTGTCATTTCAGGAACCAACGAATGCTTTATTCCCCTCAGTGTCCCTTCATCCCCCCATGACAGGTCCTGCAATCCCCGTTTTACTGCTAAGAAATCTGGGGTTCAGGATCATCAAGGGTCCTGCTGAAGGCTAAGATCAGAGCTGACATCAGAACCCATTTCCACCTGGAACTTCAAGTGTCAAAGGTCTGCCTATCTTCCCAGTAGCCCAGCTCCCCCATGGAGGGTCCATGGTAGAAATGAACAGGGAAGAAGAGTGGTCCTTCCCAGAAACCATGATGGAGTAGCCTAGGTCACATTTTGCAGAGGTCAGTTCAGCGATTCCTCATCTTGCAAGGAAGTAACTTCTGGCCTCGCCAGACCTGCTCCCTCAGCTTTCGTGGCCCCCAGGAGGAAGGTGTGAGCCAAGAGCTGGGGCCTACACTCTTTTACACCCTGTTCCTAAGCTGCTGGACCACATCGCCTAGGGAACCCTGTTTCTAAGCACGCACCTCACTGTGAGTGACATGAAGGGAGACATTCTAATTTTGCTGACCTCACAGACAGAAAGCAAACCACAAAATTTAGTTTCGAGTCTTCTGTGTGCTCATGAGGTCGTGTCGTAATTATTGCAATCTAACCTCAAAGCTGCCTGTCACACGGCTCTCTGCAGCAGCCGGAGATGTCAGTACCCCCATAGCAAGGGCATCCCATCAAAAACTCAGGTGTCTCTTCACTGCCTGCATTTCTGCCACCCAGGTGCTGTTATGGACCAGGGCCGAAGAGTAAGATGATGTGAAGAGGTTCAAGGAGGCTAATACTTCTGGGCAAGGGGGCTTGGAGAAGAAGACAGACAGGCCCTAAGCTTTGGATCTCTCTATTCCTTCATTCCCAACCTGATCTCCAAACTTGGCCGGCAGCAGCTTTGGAGCAGGAAGCTCACACCCCCACCTTCCAGGCTCACAAGAGGGAACTCAGCAGTGGATCTGCAGTCGTGGCTCTGGAAAGATCCCAATGTCACCAGGAAAGCCATGGCCCGTGGGGGAACACTGAGGAAGGTGCCAGGGACTGGGGGAGGTGTCACTTGGGATCAGCTGGCCCTGGAGAACAGGGAGAGGGAGAGGATTCATCTGGAAAAGAATTTGGGAGCTGAAACAGTGCTGGTCCCTTCCTTGGGAGGCACCTCTGTCCACAGCTGGATTCTCAGAAAGGGGTGAAGTCTGCCCCTCTCCCCCCTATTGCAGACCAAGTTCAACCCTATGCAGGCCTACTCCCCAGAGGTTTCAGTCCTTTAGATCTAGGAGTGGACACAGGAGATGATGGGCAAAGTATTCCCTTATACAGGACACTGCCCAGGCCTGGACCTCTTCTGCTCAGGGGTGTCCTGAACAACCACCCTCCCCACAAGCAGCTGACCATCATGCCCAGGGCAGGAGCCTGGGGCAGGACACACAGGCAGAGTGGAAGAAGAGTCCACAAGAGTCCAACTGCAACCTATTCTTTGGCAACACCAAGGAGGTAGGATGTGCCTGTGTGTCCCTATAATGCTTTCTGGTGGGTTATTCATCAAAGGGGGACTGGAATGGGTGCTTGTGGGAGGGCCTGGCTAATTCAGAAGGAGCAGGGAACCTGCTGCATGCTTGCTGCAGAGGCTGGGGTGGGGGTGGCAATCTAGGGCCACCTGGGAGGTCATCAGGAAGGACAGCAAGCTGCCACTGGCAGGGTCCCTGGGGCTATGAGTCAAAGACTGTAATGAGGGGCCCATAATGGGAAGGAAGGAGCTAGGTTTCCACAGCCAGGCCCTTTCAGCTCTCTAGAGATCCCTGGGTACCCCACACATAAGAGAACGGAGGACCTGAGTGTAGGGGAGGCACCACAGGGGTCCTGAGTACGGGGGAAAGCGGAGGGCCTGGGGATTTTGGAAAAAGGAGTTGGAAAAGTGGGAGAGAAGGACAAAGATGCGTCACAGAAGTCAGAGCAAGGCAACCGCGGGGCAGCTGGTGCCCTGGCAGAGAAGTAAGGCATCTCGTCAGGACGAGGGTAGTCACCTGGTGTCCATTCCCCACCTGAACCTCCCAACTCCTCATTCCTCTTCTCCCCAGAACCTTGCACTTCCCCTTGGCTGGGGTCCTGGAGTTTCCGCTCAAGTCCAAGGGCCCCCTCCGCTAGCTCCAGCGCCCGCAGAACACCGCAGCATCCCCCGCCCGTTTGTCGCCGGGGTCCCCGGGGCTCACCTGGGGGCGGGGGCCGGCCTTGCCCACCGCCCCGAGCAGCAGGAGCGCCAGGCGCAGCAGGCTGGGGGCGCCGGCCATGGCGGGGCGCTCAGGACTGGGCCATAGCTGCCACCTGCGGAACCGCGCGCGGCGACGGATCCCTGCCGGGCTGCGGGGGGAGGAGTCCGATGTGGGGCCGCCCCGCCTGCCCGCGGGAGGGACCGGGCGGGGTCCCCGCCGTCTTCCGCCCGGGTCTCTGGGGGCCGGGGTCCAGACGGGCCGCCAATGTCCCGGGCCAAGAGGTGCCCGACGCTGCGCTCCCCGCAGGCGCCACTCGGGTTTAGGAACCGCAGGAGCAGCGGAGCCACCAGCTCTGAGCGCCCCGCGGTGTGTGCGCCTGGCCAGCTCGCTGCGACCCGTGGGGCCCGCCTCCCACCCCCGCACCCCGATCTCCTCCAGGCTCCCCCTCAACTATGGAAAGCCACGCCCCCCAAGTCAGTGGTTCCGAAAGAAAACTGAGGCCGAGGAAGGTGTAGAACTGGTACAAGGTCACAGTGTTTACCAGACTTCTCCTGGAAAGTGTATCCCATAGGCTGCTAGTGACTAGGGAAGAAAGGTCCACCTAGCGGGGGCTACCTATTTCCCCAGTCCCCTCCTTATCCCAAGCCCAGCCTTCTGGGCAGGCCTGACAGTCAAGGCTGTAGGGATTGGGACAGGAGATCCAAGGTGGTCCTCAGGTTCCCTTCTATGTGGAAACTTTAGAAATTGCAGGGTGGAGAGGGTTGAGGCTGAAGGTCTGCCTTTCTAGAACTTTCCCAATGCTCCCTGCCCAGCCCTTGTAGCCTCTGGGCCTGCCTACTTTACTTGCCATCCCCACTGCGTAGGTGCGGTCATGTGCGTCCTGACTGCATTCTGTGTGCAGGTCACTCTGTCTTCTGCTTTGTGGAGACTCCTGTCTCTTTTCCTCACCTTTGCCCTGGCACACAGTACAGGCAGGGGGAGATCACCTCACTGCGTGTTCTTCCAGTCAGTAAGTGGGACAGGCAAGCAGACAGGGTGCAGCTTAACCCTCCTGAGGAAACAAAAGCAGCAAGAGGTCGCCCCTCCCCCGAGAACTAGTATAAGGACAGTTGCGCGTGGCTCTACCCAGCCCTGGACCTGCCTGGGGCTAGTCTGGATCATTCTAGAAGGGAAGGGAGATTGTGAGCATAGCTGTACCTCTTGGAGAACACAGAACTTCTCGAAGTCCGGAGTCAAGCGGGACTCCACATCCAGGACTGAGATAGCCAAGAGGAGGAGCCTGCAGGCTCCATTCAGAGATGAGAGAGATAGATGATAGATAGACAGACAGGCAGACAGACAGACAGACAGACAGACAGATAGATAGATAGATAGATAGATAGATAAATAGACAGAGAGACAGACAGAGAGAGAGAAAAAGAGAGAGACACACACAGAGAAAGAGAGAGGAGATGGGAGAGGGAGAAGGAGGGCTCCCTTCTGGCAAGCGCTGCCTCTGACTCCTGAGTCCCTTGTTCTCATTCCACCCAGAGGTCAAACAGGTTCCCACATAGATTTAGGTTGTTTAGCTGTCAATAAAGAAAATTCCACCCCCAAAAATGATGTCACTGTGGCTTTTATGGAAAGCCAGGCTGGATGTTCAGCCCAGGTTGGAGTGAGTAGCCGTTCTCTGACTATCAGGATCTCCAGATCTTTTAGGTTCTCCGGTTCCAGGCATCTATCTAAACCATACAAAGTGGCTTGCTCTAGACCCAGTCAAAAGTCCAGTCCACAGGAAAGGACCGGCTGATTACCCACAGCATACCAACCATCAATTCTTCACCCATTGATCAGAATTTATTCCCATAGTCACCCCTAGTTCCAAGAGAGGCTAGAAAAAGTATCTTTTATTTCAGACTGTCATGGGCACAGTTTGTAACAAGAGTCCTTTTTTGTCCTGTCAGCCAGCTCCCAATAATGACACAGAGACCCATTATTAATCATAATCATGAAAGCTTGGCCTTAATTTAGGCTTGGGTTGTTTGTTTGTTTGTTTGTTTGTTTGTTTGTTTGTTTGAGACAGGGTTTCTCTGTGTAGTTTTGGTGCCTTTCCTGGAACTCACTTTGTAGACCAGGCTGGCCTCAAACTCACAGAGATCCACCTGCCTCTGCCTCTGCCTCCCAAGTGCTGGGATTAAAGGCGTGCTCCACCACCGCCCGGCTTAATTTAGGCTTGTTTTTAACTAGTTCTTATAACTTAAATTAACCCATTTCTATTAATCTATGTCCTGTCATGTACCACCCATCCTGCTTCTTCCGTGCCTTCTGGCACCTAGATTCATCTCCTATTTCCTTTCCCCCCCACATCCACTGCATCCCCCACTGCCCAGAAGTCCCGCCTATACCTTCTGCCTAGCCATTGGCTGTTCAGCTTTTTATTACATCAATGACAGCAACACATCTTCACACAGTGTACAAATATCCCACAACAGTTAAATAGTGTATCTTTTATTACTCTGCCTGCTTTCTGTTGCTAATAACATCATACCACAGATTTTTTTTTTTTTTTGAGACAAGATGTCTCTATGCAGCCCTGGCTGTCTATGTATATCAGGCTGGCCTCAAACTCACAGAGATCTGCCTGTCTCTACCTCCAAAGTGCTGGGATTAAAGGCATGTGCCACCACTGCCCAGCAAGGCTAAGTACACTTTGAAGAAAATACATTTGGGACCCTGATTCTAGTGTAAGGGTAGAGAACTACAGTTGATGGCATCCTTCATCACAGAATTCTGGAGTGGTGAAGGGTATCCCACACTGACAGATAAGGAGTTCTCAATATAGCTAACCATGTTGGCTTTGAGAGTGTGAGGGCTAATCTTGGTTGTCAACCTGAATAGAATCAACACTCTCATGACGGGCTTTCTTGGTCATATTATTTAAAGTGGAAAACCCCACCCTAAATGTGGTGGAACTTTCTGGTGGCAGTCTAGATAAAAATGTTATGGGAGAAAAAGGCTTGGCTTTTAGCCTGCTTGTCTTCACTCTTGCTGGCAAGTTCATCTACCCTACTGCTGTTACTGCTACAGTCCTTTGCTGATATTAGAATATGCTTCCTTAGGCTTTTGACACAGGGTGGAGACCAGAAGCTCTCCCAGAATCCTCAAGGGTGAGGTTAGGACAGCTGAGACACCCAGGCTCATGGGCTGAACAACTACTAGCTTCTTAGCCTCTCTAGTGTGAGTCAGCCAGGGACTGAGTTGCCTGGACCATGCATGGAAACCAATCGAACAAATCCCTCTCACCACCACATTCCTTGAATTTTTATTTGATGTGTATATGTGAGTCTGCATGCATGTATGTGCATCATGTGTGTGCAATACCCCGTGGAGGCCAGAGAGGCCATCAGATTGCTGTACCCATTTCACGAAACCCCCAGAGACCACCAAGGAGCCAGTTTCCAATGCAAGCACATAAGGGTCCTTTTATTCAGGTTCAACCTGGGCCACCACAAGGCAGATGGAAGAAAATGTGGCAGCGGCCATGAGCCCAGGTGTAGAGGGTTTTTATAGGGAAAAACCACAAACTGGGAATTGGAAACTTTGGATTGGGTAGAAGGGGCAAGGTGATTTTTTGAAACTATTGGTCTAGACTTTGGGCGTGAAACCACATTTGAAACCATTGGGTTAGACTTTTGGCGGGGAACCACAACCTGCTGAATAGGATTATCTGGACTGCTCAGCAAGATTAGATATCTTCAAGGGCCATAAACCGCAGACAGGATGTCTGCAGGAGGATACTGTTCTGTATCTGTTCCAGTTGTCATGGCACATTCCTGAGCCTGTAAAGTTAAGTTTAGACCTTCACAAGATCACCTGGAGCTCAAGTTACAGACAGCTGTGAGCCACCATGTGGGTGCTGGGAACCAAACCCAGGTCCTCTGCAGAGCAGCCAGTGCTGGTAACCACTGAGTCATCTCTCCAGTCTCCATGTCACCGTTCAATATATCTTCATCCTATAAGTTCTATTCCTCTAAAGAACATGAACACAGGGAGCAAACCTACTTCTGAAACAACCCACTCACCCATCATCCCTAACCCTGTGAGTTAGTTAGTTCCCTCAGGGTTATGACCAAGTTCCTGACAATATGTGACTAAAGGAAGGAAGGGTTTATTTGGCTCCTAGATTGAGGGGATGCAAGACATCCCTGGGAGTTAGAGGGAAGGGCATGACTACAGGAGCAGAAGGCGGTTGGTCATATTGTATCCCAGTCAATAGAAAGAGATGGTGGTGGTTTGAATAAGAACGGCCCCCATAGGCTCATATATTTGAATGTTTAGTTATCAGGGAGTGGTACTACTTGAGAAGGATTAGGAGGTGTGGCCTAGTTAGAGGAAGTGTATCATCACTGAGATTTCAAAAGCCCAAACCAGGCCCAGTGGCTCTCTCTGCCAACTTTCTGAGGATGTGGATGTAGAACTCTCAGCTGCTTCTCCAGCATCATGTCATAATGGACTAAACCTCTAAAACTGTAAGCAAGCCTCAATTAAATGCTTTCTTTGATAAGAGTTGCCATGACTCACAGCCCTTTGAATGGAACAGCTTTGGAGGGGTGCTGCCTTCCCTCAGGAATCCCCAGATTCCCACAGTAGATACCTGCTGCAGGCCACAAGAATATATTATAGAGATTCAGCTGTATATAATAAAAGCTATTCCTAGAAAAGTCAAGGAATTTTTCTAGAGGGAAGCTATTTATTTAGGAGTATTTGGTGTTATTCAGTTTTTTAATATATCAGCTGTCTTCTGCTATGAAATTCTTGTGTGCTTGTATACCACGAGGCCTTATGGTAAGCAGATAAGCTTCTCAGATCTACTGCTGATCTACTAGGTAACACCCCTACAGAGCCTAGGAGACAGGCAGACTGTAGATGTTTAACTTTGTTTCTTGTGCAAATGAAGCTCACAGACCATCCTATTTCCTTCAGGGGCCTAGTGGCATGCCAGAGTGACTGACTCAAGACAAAAGAGTTTTTGCATAACCAGGTGCAGTAAGGACTGGAGCAGAACTCCTGGTCCAGCAGAGCAGTGTGGCCGGAGAGACGAGAACAAGGCAGAGTTTCTGTAGATGGTAAAGCAGACTGGCTCGGGCCGAGGAGTAAGAACAAGGAAAAGTTCTGCGGACTGTAGGTAGATTTATATCAGGTCAGGGGAGGAGAAGAGGGAGGAAAGATGGAGGCATAAGGGCTTAGTTACCATTGGGCTATGAGAGGACAGAAAAAGAAAGGACAAAGAGGAACAGAGTGTCAGGACAGAACTGAAGCTGCATAGATAGAATTTTGTTATAGAGTAATAAAGTAAACAGACAAAAGAGGTTGGTGTACATAGATTCCCTCAGA